ATCTGAGGGGCTGGGGACCTGGACTCGTAGGTCTGAGGGAGGGGACGGGGCTAGTCCCAAGTTAGGCTGGCAAGTGCAGACTCTAGGAGGGCTCTAGTGTGGGGCTCGGCAACCACACAACGGTCGTCGTCTTCATTGAGTTTATTAGACGGGGCGCCCCTGGGGGACCTTCCATGCAGTTTCACCCCCCCAGGGGTAGGGACCAGGACAGCTGTGTGGCACGGAGGCAGGGCCTGATCTGCTTTCCTCAGCTTCTCCCTCAGCCCTTCTGTGATTGGCCGGCGAGGTGGGGCCCACCTGGTCATGTGCTCCTTTTACACACCCTTTCTGTCTCCCCTGCTCTAGCCACTGGACTATGATGGTTTGTGTCTCTGTGTCTGGATCTCCTAGCAGGGGCCAGGGACCAGAGGGACTCATCTCAGCATCCTCCATATTGCCCAGTCCAGGGTCAGGTGCACAGGTCTTAGGAAACGTGCATGCATGAATGAATGGAATGAATAAACACATGAAGTGAAACGCTGACCCACAGACATTCCCTCCCAAGCTAAGTAAAGTAAGTATCTGCTGTGTTTCCTCACTGCCAATGCCTGCGTGGCCCTCTTCAGTGGACACCTCCCTTTGCATCCCATCTGTTTGTGTCCCCCAAAGGACAGAGCTTGGGATGGATATAGCTCTGACTGAGGTTTGCAAGACCTGGCACCTGGAGAAATATTTGTCAAATGAATGAATGAAACCTCTTCTTTCCCTTCTCCTCACTGGGCATTTCCAGAAGATTCTAGAAGCATGGCAGATGTGGGCAGCAGCAAGCAGTGCAGGGTGGACAGAGCAGCTATGGGGTAATTCACCAGAGCTTCCATCCCAACCACCTTGCAACCTCTGTGCCCCATGTCCTAAATCCCTGGGCCGCCTCCTCTTTCTTGATCCCTTCTGGCCCTGTGTCTCATCTTTCTCAAGCGTACTCTCTGATTTCAAAGTATAGCCACTACTGTGAACTCAAACCTAGCAAAGATCATGAAGATGCCCCAGGACCGGGCAGTGTCTCGTTCTCTTGTACATAAGGCCATCAGGAGTCCGAGCCAACTTGACAACCATTTGGGGAGGTGGGGGGGGGTGCTATCCTCCATCTTCCCATCTGCAAGCATCCATTTCTCTCCTGTTTGTCTGAACTGTTGCCTTCAGTGTACATCCTACATTCTCCCCCTCCCCACTTGCCAACAGGGCTGACTTCCCCAGGGGTGTACTGAAATGACATCTCCGAGGAGGCCATCAACCACACGGTATTATCAGATCTAGTGGTCACTTTATTGTTCTTGAGGTACTTCCAACACTCAGCAATCCTTATTACAGCAACTTCCTCCCTTTCCTAAAACACTTTGTTCTTTGGATCTCTGTGTCTCTCGAGTTTTCTGGCTACTTCTGGTCACTCCTTGTTCCCTCTGCCAGTTGCTCTTCTTCCTCAGATGGAGATACCGCCAAGGCTCTGGCTAGGGAGGGTCATCTTCTCTACCCACACTTACCCTCCTAGGTCACTTCATTCAGTCCCCATGGCTTGAAATGTCTTCTATATGCTGACGTTTCCAAGATTTATATTTCTAGCTATGACCTCTCTACCAACCTACCAGCTCACATATCCAACCGGTGACTTGATACCCCTACTGGGATTTCTCACAGTCATCTCCAACTTGGCACATCCAGGGAACTTTTGACCTCTCCCCCTCAAATCCCATTTCCTCCCAGTTTTTCTCTTCCTGGCAGTACACTGTAGTAGACACCCCCATTGTTCAACGAGTTCCTCTCGGTACCTTACCCTGCTTTCCCATCCCTTTCCCCACTACATCCAATTCACCACCACGTCAGGGTCTACCTTCACAATTTCACACGTGGTCCTTCCATCTCTCCATCCCCATGGGCATCAACTATACCTCACCCTGGTCTAAGCCACCATCACCCCCAAATGGACAACTACAAGAATCCTCGTCACTGTCCCTTCATTTCCAGTTTTGACCCCACAAATGTATCGCCAGCACAGCAGTGTGATTCTGGGTTGTTTGGTGGTTTTTTGTTTTTTTTTTTGGTTTTGTTTTGAATGAGTGTCTGATCAAGTCATTCTGGAGCTCAAAATAGCCTAATGGCTTTCCATGGGTCAAGGAAAAAATTCAAAATGCTACGTGTTTGGCTGCCAGTCCTGTTCTTTCACCCACTCCTCCTCTGCTCACCCCCATGGGACTCCAGGAGAACGTTACACCTCAGAACCTTTGTGCTTGCTTGGTGGTTGGAATGTTGTTAAGTACTGTCAAGTTGGTTCCAACCCTGTATAGGGTTTCCAAGGAGCAACTGGTGGGTTTGAACCACCAACCTTGTGGTTGGCAGTCTAGTGCTCATCCTACAGTGCCACACCAGGACTCCATGTGGTGGCCAGAAAGCTTGTCCCCCAATTTTTGTAAGTCCCTTTCACATGTCTGTTCAAATGTTACTCTCCAGTGAGTAACCCAACCACGCTATCTAAAGTCAACCTTGCCCTGTGGTCCTGCTACCACCTTTTTAATCAGGAACCACACTCATCTTATCATTTGTCTCTTCGTTGGCATGTGTCAGAAGAGCAGGACTTTTGCTCATCACCCTATTTCTTTGACCTCAGCTGGGTCTTGGCTATATATTTCCACCCATAGTAACACCACCTACAGCAAAAGTTGCCTGGTCCTCCGCCACTTTCGTGATGTTTGAGTGTACTGTTGTGGCCATTTGTAGCATCTTCCAAGCAAAGGGGCTCATCTTCCAGCATTATGTTGTTGTTAATTGATAGCGAGTTGATTCTGACTCAACAGTGATCCCATGTATTACAGAGTAGAACTCGTCCAGATTGGACAATATTCCACGCTGGGATAGGTTTTGATGTTGTTAAGTATTGTTAAGTCAGTTCTGAACCATAAGCGTCCCTGCATAGGGTTTCCGAAGAGCAGCTGGTGAGCTCGAACTGCCGACCTTGCAGTTCAAACAGCTTTGCAGTCTGGTGCATTAACCCACAGCGCCACACCAGGACTCCTGGGATAGGTAGGCACTTAAAAATTTCTTGAATCATTCCCATGATCTTTTCTGTGGATAACTTAATCTTCCTTTGCTTCTGGGCTTTTGTCTCTATGATCTGTGTATGTGTGTGTGTTGGTATCTCATAGACTTCTGTCCTCTGATTTGTGTATTTCTTTGTCATTTCCTCTCTTATCTCCTTCTCCTCTCCAGGCTACCTTCCTCTGTCTTTGACCTTTTCTCTAGATCTTTGTGACTCTGTCCCCATTTTGACCTCTTCTGCCTACACCCTCATCCCCATCTCTCTTTCTCCTGTCCACCCTTCACCTCTTTCTGGCTCTATTGTTGGCCTTTGGATTATAGAATCTACTGTTCTTTAACCAATTCTCCCCTTCTCCTCCACCAGAGTTCTACCACCACCAAATTAACTTCTTTTGATGCTGCTTCTCCTTGCCCCTGTCCACTTATCATTAGTGGGTCTGTGGTACACTTTTTGCATGCGTGCTGCTATGATGCTGAACAAGTTTCAGTGGAGTTTTATCACCAAGGACTAGCAAGAAAGTCCCAGTGATCTGCTTCCAAACATCAACCAATGAAATCCATATGAATTGCAATGGTCCAATGCACAATTGATCATGGAAATGGCGCAGGGCTGGGTAGGCTTTTGTTTCATGCCATTGTACCTGAGATGATGAACCTGAAAGGGGGTGACAGGCTGAATACATGGAAGCTAATAACAATATATGAGGTTCTTCTGCATCTTGCTAATTGCTAATTGTATGACTTTCCTGCATTTTTCAGCATCTCTCCCTGTAACTGAATTCCTCCTAGTTCTCTTGACCTCAAGTCTCTCTAGTCCATCCACACGGCCCCCTGAGGGAAAGCCCTTACATCCACTTCTGAGCTGTTTCCTCCTCTGTGACCCCCTTTGATAATGCCTGCAGGTCCTCAGGATAAAGGGTTTGTAAGCGCTTGGTGGCATGGCACTATTGTCAAACACAGAGCCCTAGAGGATTAGGCAAGCTGTGCCTTGTCTCTTCATCTCTGCATCCCTGAGCACTGGGTCTGACACACAGGGGCTGTTAAGAGATAGGACAGCCTCTTCAACCACCTTCAAATGCATCACCTTCTCTGTCCTCATGGCTCCATCGCCCAGCTCAACTCTTATCCTCTCTCCTCTACCTGGCCTCTTGTTCATCTTATCCTCCCCCTAGGCTCCAGAGGCATCTGCTTTTGCTCTTCCTCTGCTGCAAACCCCTCCATAACTCCCCATTGCCCTTAGAATAAAGTTTATTTGGAACTCAGGATCTTTAGAATTCTTCCTGCCTTTCTGGTCTCACCCTGACCCTATACTTCAACACCCCACAATTATTAACATCATTCCCAATGCACAGTGTTGTTTCCTTTGCCCGGAATGCCTCCCCTCACCCCTTTCTCCACCTGGCCAACTCCTACTCATCCTTTTAAGGTCCAGATTGGACACCATGTTCTCTGGGACATTTTCCTCAAGAACTACCCACTCCTGGCAGATGGGTCACTCAGCTCTGTGTGCCAAGGTGCTTCTTGTGTACCAGCAGCTTGCAACCCAACCAGTTGCTGACCTAAGGGTGGTGGTTCGAGCCTAGCCTGCAACTTGGCTTCTGTAAAGATCACAGCCAAGGAAATTCAATGAAGCAATTCTACTCTGACGAACACATGGGGCCGCCATGACTTTGAACCAACTAGATGCCAACCCGTTTGGTTTCTTAGCTTTTGGTTACAACATAGATTGAAGTAACTAGTTGAGGTTGCCTGTCAACGGTCATTTAACAATTGCAATCTAAGCTTCCTGAAAGTAGGGATAGGGTCATGACTTCTGATCAGGATTCCAAGTACTAACACATTGTCTGGTTCATTAGGAGTCCCAGAGTGATGCAAATGGTTAAGCATTCTGCTGCTAACCAATAGGTTAATGGTTCAAGTCTACTCAAAGGGGCCTTGGAAGAAAGTCCTGGTAATCTTCTACCAAATGATCACAGCTATTGAAAACCACAGGGGGCACAGCTCCCTTCTGATACACATAGGACCACCATGAGTCAGAGTGAAGTGGAGGACAACAGGTTTGGTTTCTTTGGTCTCTGGTACATTAGCAGACCCTCAAACATGGCAGCGAGTAGGGGGTTGAATTAATGGGTGAGAGAAACACACAAATTTCTACATCCCAGGACTTCAGACACTATTATTCCTGCGCTTCAGTATTTCTGTATTTACTTGCTTCCACCCACCAGAGTGTGAGTTTCAAGAGCAGTTATTCCAGCTTGTTTGCTGTGGCTCTTGTCTCAATTTGTCTCCCTGCATACACGAGCCACTCAACGCTCCTGCTTAAAGACATGCTGCGGCACCTTTGGAATAAAATCTAAACTACGTATTTAACGTACAACCTGGCTCTGTCCTTGTCTCTAGTTTTTTTCTTGCTAGTGGGCCCATCCCCACCTCACTTACCATACCTCAGCCTTCTCTGGAAATTCCTTCCTACCTCAAGACCTTTGCATGTGTTTTTCTGTTTGGAACACTTCCTTTCCTTCCCCTCTACACCTCACAGTTTCACCTCGTGGCTCCTTGCCAGCCAGTGTTAGCTAAAACATCTGTTCCTTTGACACGGGGTTTAAAAAATCCAAACCTACTGCCACGAAGTCAACACTGCCAACTCAGTGACAGAGTAGAACTGTCCCCATAGGGTTTCCAAAGCTATGATCTTTAACGAAGCAAACTACCTCATCTTTCTCCCAAGGAGTGAGTTGGAGCCTCCAACTTTTTAGTCATGTTTTAACTATTGAACCACACAGTTCCTTGTTACAATAATAATAAAAAAACCTACACATAAACAAACAAAAAACCCCACAGCCATGGAGTTGATTCTGACTCATAGTGACCCTATATACATCAGAGTAGGATTTCCAAGACTGTAATTTTTTTTAAGGAAGTGGACTGCTGTTGGGTTTCAACTGCTGACCTTTTGGTTAGCTTGAGAATTGTAACCACCAAAACACCAGGACTCATATGCTAGTTGTAACATAACTGTTTATATATGAGTCTTCGATTGCCTGTGTCACGCACAAGATGGAAACTCTATGAGAATGGTGGAGGCCCCATCTGGTTTTGTGCTTTCTGTAGGCTTAGCGTTCAGCTTTAGACCTCCAACTTATGTTCTCAATGAACACCAGTCATCAGTGAATAAATGTGCTGTTGGCAGACAATATTGAATCTACCACGGATTGCCAGAGGAACCAACACACCTGTCTTGGCAGAAATACAGCCAGAGTGGTCCTTTAGAAGCCAGGACGGTGAGACTTTGTCAGCTACTTTGGATATGTCACCAGGAGGGACCAATCACTAGAGAAAGACATCATGCCTGGTAAAGTAGAGGGCCAAAGAAAAAGAGGAAGACCCCCCTCCCCCAATGAGATGAATTGACGAGATGGCTTCAATAAGGGCAGAGATTGGAAGTCTGGTGAAGGAGTGGGCAACACTGATTCCGGTATACATAAGATCGTCAGGCGTCAGCCATATGTCACGGCTGTAACCACAACAAGGAATGAATGAGTCCCTTTCTGGGCCTGTGATTATGCCCCGTCCCCAGTACTCAACAAACCACTGTGTTGTCTTAAAAGAAAAAAATGAACGAATGCACGCGTTCCCAAACGTACTTCCCTCTTGCGTGTGAGCGCACCTCTCCCCTTCTCTGCCTTTCCGTAAACCTTCTCTTTACACGGAATATATATGTGTATATATACATACATATACATATATATATTTGGTGTGATGATATATTGAGGTTTGATAAACACCTCTCCAGAAGTTGGGCTGGGCTGGTAGTTCCTCCCCACCATCCCACCCACCGCCCTGCCCCCACATGCACACAGCAAAACATGAAAAAGGAAACATCTCAAAACTGCAAAAAACGCCACCGCCCTCCCCCCTCCCCCCCCCAAATCCCACAAAAAAATAAAACACGACGCTCCCTCCCCACGGCCCCTTCCCTGCCCCCTCCCTCGGGGTCCCTGCATCGGAGGGGAGGACGAGTGGGGGAGGTGAGCCGGGGGGAGGGGGAAGGCCCAGCAGTCTCCAGCGCGCTCTAGGTAGGGGGCGCCCCCGAACCCCCGGCAGCCCCGTAGCGCGCGCGCCCGCGCACGCGCCCCGGACACGCGCCCCCTCGGCTCCCCACGCGCGCTCCTACACGGGCGTGGTTTTCCTGTTGAGCGTGTTGGTGTTGGAAGCGGCGGCCTCCTTGGCCAGGGTCCCAGGGGCAGGTGCGGCGGG